GGCCATTCCTAATCAGACCACCACAGGGACTTGGGCAGAAGCCTGAAAGGAATGTTCTCTGTCATTTCTTTGAGAGCCTGTCAGCATCTTTATTCAAGCAGTGTGGGGTGTGGACAGGATGAATAGTGATGGAGGAGACAAGATGGCTAATTGACCACACCGCAGGGAATGTGCACGCCATGGGCAGTCACGTGTGTTCCTCACAGTGGCACTGTAGCCCCAGGGTGCATGCTGAGCCTCAAGGATGTTTCCACCCACACAGCAGAGTTCCTGGTCCTTCTCTGTCTGTCTGTCTGTCTGTCTGTCCACTCTCAGTCCTGATGCCCCCCCACGGCACCTCTCTCCTTTTCATCATCTGCTTTGGGACAGCAGTGGGGTTTTTGTTTTGTTTTGTTTTTTGAGACAGGGTTTTTCTGTGTAACCGTCCTGGCTGTCCTGTAGACCAGAATGGCCTCGAACTAACAGAGATCTGCCTGCCTCTGTCTCCTGAGTGCTGAGATTAAAGGTGTGCACATCACCGCCTGACTTTGGGACAGAAATCTTTCTAATTGTCCTGGGGAGCGGGTGGCGAGACATGGGCAAGGGCTGATGGGATAAGTGCTGTCTCGGATCCCAGGCTCCAGACAGCTTCCGTGTACCCAGCCTCTGAGCCCACCCCTCTACTCACTGTGCCCAGGACAGAAGAGCTGGCCCCCAAGAGCTCATGTGGCAAGTGGCACAATGCAAGGATGGCAGCATCGTCCAGCCTCAAAAGGACCTGTCCCTCCAGGTCTCCTTCCCATTCATCAAAGAGGGTCCCTGTGTCGCCCCTTATGGGTCAATTGGACCAGGTATCTCAGAGGTCTGAGGCAAGTCCTGAGCCAGGTTGCTGACCACAGCAGCCGGCTACACAGCAGCCTCTCAGAACCAGGAAAGCCGGTCTCCAGCCCTTCCCTCTCTAGGCTGCTCCAGAAGACTCACTGACAAGCAAATCAAGATGGAGGGTGTGACTCAGAGAAGACCTTTAGCTCAGCAAGCATTTCTGAAAGGGCTGTCCTTTGCCAGCCCCGTTAGGGTGCATAAACATGGAAGAGACGTTTGGGGTGGTGGAATAGCAAACTGGGGCACCCCTAGTATAAACAGCCCTAACAGCAGAAGCTAGATACACTTCTTATGGGAGAGGGATGTGGAAACCCCTTATAAACTCAGAGTGGACTTCCTGGAGGAGGCAGCTCCTGCAGATTCAAGCAACAGGAATTGGGGTGGGCAGAACTATAAGCAAACAGGACTGTGAATGAGACATCCTGGGGGGTGGGCTCTGAGCAGCACACATGCCGACGGGGTGAAGATAAAGTTGAGGGGATGTCACACACATGTACCCCATGCATAAGAGCTGTGCGTACCGGGTGTCTGGAGGAGTCTGCAGAGAGCTCCTTGTGGATGATTCAGAGTCGCAAACAGCATAGGGCCAGCTCAGCAAGGGGAATAATGGGCAAGACGAAGGCGCCCAGTGCCAGAGGAAGCAGCAAAGATCTTTCTAGATCATGACCTAATCGTGTGGTTTTCAAACCGCTGCTTCTTTGAGTCATGCGTGGGTCACTTGGATCCAACCACCAGGGTCCCCAGTTGACCTCCACAGAGCTATGATTCCACACACACTGTCTCCATGTCCCTCATGTGTCTACTTAGCTGGACCATGCCTTGGCCCAGGCTCAAAGCAGGTGAGCTACAAGGTAGCCATGGAGCTGGAATTCGATAGATGCCATATAAAGCGAAGAACTGAAGGTACTACCCAGTCAGAAGGGCCAGCCCTTAAGATGCCACTGTTGGACATCTGCTTTGTTACCAGTTTCCGGAGCCACAGTAAATTAGCTCCAGGCCACCGAGCTGTGCCTTGGCCTCTCTAACTTCTCCAGCCATGGGAAGTCAAAGGTTCTAGCTACAGCTAAATTCTGAACTGGGGAATGGCCGACTCTACAAGTTTTTAGTAAAGTCCGTAAATATGTTTATGTATATTAAGAATTAGTAATAAATACGTATTTTATGCATATAGAATGCATGAATGTGAGACTGCTATAAATGTATCTATGTTAAATTGATACAGATATTTATAGGAAAACGAAGTACTTGCTCACATGTGTTCCTTCCATCCCCCAGATGAACGCACCATGGCGTCATGGTGCATCTCCTGATTCGTTGCTGGGATCTCACATCGGGAACAAATGCCTGAATACTCCGTGTGGTGGTTAATCTTGTCAACATGATAGGATTTGAAATAAGATCAAATCCTCAGGGATGTCTGTGATGGGCTACTCTCTAGAGTAGGTTGAGTAGGTGGTACCTAATTCTGGGACCGGGGATCCTGGCTGAATAAAAAGGAAAGAGGGTGATGGGTACAAGTCTTTGTTGTTCTCTGTTTCCTGACTGTGGACCTGCCGGCCTGCTGCTCTTGCCACAGCGCCTTTTCTGCTATGGTGGGATGTATCTCCTCTGTAAGCCCAAAGAAATTATTCCTTCCATAAATTGCTTCTTTGAGGTATTAGGTCATAGCCGTGAGATATGTGACTAATACAGAAAGTTGGTACTGGGAAGTGGGGTATTGCTGGAATAAATCCGATCCTGTAGCCATAGAACTGCTTTGTGGAAGAGTTTGGGTTAGAAAAGACCTTGACTACTATAAGAGTTCTTAATGCGCTATTCTGGAGAGAGCTTCAGACAGGATGTTGAGAGTGGTGGCCAATTCATGTGGATTCAGAGGGGAACAAAGATTCTATGAGAAACCGAGTTAGGGACTGTCTTTTCCTGGGATTGGGGTGGTGCTGGGGGGGGGGATGACTGTCTTAGTTAGGGTTTCTGTTGCTGTGCAGAGACACCACGACCTCGGCAACTCTTACAAAGAAAGCATCTAATTGGAACTGGCTCACAGTTTCCAAGGTTTAGTCCATTATGGTTATGGCAGGAAGCATGGTGGCATGCAGGCAGACGTGGTGCAGGCGGAGGGGATTCTCAGACAGCAGCAAGTGTCAGTGGATCACTAGCCCAGGCTTAAGCTTCTGCGACCCCAAAGCTCTCCCCCTGTGACACCCTTCCTCCCACAAGGCCACACTTCCCAATAGTGCCAGTCCCCAAGAGCCTGTGGGGCCATTTTTATTCAAGCCACCACTGGGGCCATTCATGTTCTGTTCTGTCAGAGAATCTGGCTGCAGTCTGCTCCTGTCCTGAGAACTCTGGTAGAGTTGACTTTAAAAGTGACTTGTTTGGCAGAGGAAGTTTTGAGATGAAGCAGCAGTCCGGCTGGGTCATGGTTACCGCACATTGCTTTTATCCAGCTCGGTGGTGAGGGGAGCGGCAAGTGAGGAGAAAAGATGGAAAACAACGTGCCATTGGGCAGGGGAGGGAGGGAGTTTAAGGCTGTAGACAAGGCAGGTGGTGAGAAGCAGCTATAATCGCTAAGGGGATTATCACCCACGAAGAGTAATCTCTTGCTGTGCCCTGGGGCAGCAGGGAAGGTGTCCTGAGGGCAAATCCTTCTCCGTTGCAGGCTCCGTCTTGAAAGGAGAGATCCCACTGAGGAGAGCCTGAGGGGGTTCCCTGCTTCTCAGAGCAGCTGCCTAGGAAAATGTTGCCTTAGGCTTGTACTCAGAACCTGCTGCAGCTGTGGTCCTGTGGAGCCAGGCTCCTTCCCTAGCCGCCAGTGGACCGTGGCTGTGCCGTGCCGTTGTATATTGTAATGTGTAACTTACTTTTTATTTTATAGGAGCTCACAGCTAAGAGATTGCCCTCAGTTCCAGGTGATACTTGGACTTGGGACTTTCAGTGTTGGAACTGTTAGGATTCCGGGGACTTCTGAAGTTGGCTGTTGGGATGGGCTCTGTCTCCTTCCCTGGCTCTTTAGCAGTGGCGTTCCTCTCTACTCGGGGTATCAGTCACTTGTCTGTTATGTATGTTGCGATTGGTTTTCTCTTCATGGACTCATTCTCTTTCATCTTGGTCTGTAACATGTTTGGCCAGGGGAACTTATAGATATTTATATAGAAGAAATTATAAAATGTAAGCCGATGGAGACCGGTGATTAGTCTCTGTTTCAGCTATCGTGTGGGTACATGCGTGTATATAAAAGTAAACGAGTATAAGTTTTTATTATTACTGTGGCGGCTGGTAAGCCTCTTCGAGGTTAGCTGTTTACAAGTGTGTCCTCCACTAACAGATGCTGAACTATGACTGCCACTGTGTGGAGATCTCTAGAAACCGGGAAACTGCAAAACCAGTGCTCTACCATGCAAGGACTGGGAACTGCTGAGACAGGCTATCTGTGGAAAGACAGATGGCTGGGTAGCCCCAACCTGCCCCTTGAAGAGCGGGGCGAGCCTCTCCTAGCCCACAGGAAAGGATTATGGTTGCCCTGTCACCACCTTCCAGGAGTGCTGTCAGCTCAGCCAACCTCCCATGGGGCCTCACGCTCGCTGATAGAAAGATGGATACCAGATAGACAAACCATTGCATATTGCATGAGGCACACATGGTGGGGAGAGCCGGCCTAGGCAGACAAATGGGACCGAGTCCATTCACTGCACATGTGTGCCCCAGTCAGACTCTGTTCTGTGAAGTAATCTCCTGAGGACTAGTGAGCAGATTGCCGAGATAGAGCCCTAGGGACTGCAGAGTGTGGTCGGATGCTATTCATCCAGGTGTGACACCCACCCACCCACTTAGCACTTAGCAGGCGCCAGTGGACAGTGATTTCCCCCCTTGATACAGTTACAGGAGCTAAAAGCTTACTGAGAAGAGGGATTGAGTCCGGGAACTTAAGAGTGTGGAATAAATTCTTGCCTATGCTGATGGGGCGCAGGGGAGGGGTGTCCGCTACTCAGGAAGTCCCAGGTGCACTTCTGGAGACTGGCTTCTTGTTCCACTACAGTCCGTCCTGACTGAAGAAGGGACTCCTTACCGTGACTTTCAGGCCTCCTTGGGCCGCAGCAGCGGATCCAGCAGCCTCTTCATCTGTTCTGCTCTCTTTGCAGTCCACCTCATCCCAGTGTCCACAACCAAGGATGGCGGGGGCAGCAAGAGCCGGAAGAGGATCATGCCAGACCCGGTGACGGAGCCGCCCACGGTAGACCCGGTGTATGAAGCGCTTCTCTACTGCAACATTCCGAGTGTAGCCGAGCACAGCATGGAAGGTAGACCCGGTGTATGACCTGTCCCGGTGACCTGGAGCTCAGGACGCAAGTAGACGCCCTGGGGACCAAGTTCTCTAAGCAGCATCCTGCTGGCATAAGAAGCTGGCCAGCTTGGGCTCATTCTTCAGAGCCACTACCCCGTGCCCAAAGACGGGCTCCTGGGTTTTAGCATACTCTACTGAGTATAGGGAAGGTCGCTGGTCCCTGGTGAGGTGTGGGCAAGGCAGACAGGGCGTTGAAGGTGGCCGTCCCCTTGGCTACTCTGCTTCTCCGCGTAAATCTATAGTATGCTTAGCATGTCCACAGGACCTAGAGTCTTGCTGTAAAGGAGTATGAAATAGTGTCCCCATCAAGTTTCGCTTTCCCCAGTGTATCGACGGGTGCTGGGGGATGCATGTATTGATGGCCTGCTGTGTTCCCTGGAGGATTTAAAGCAGAAGTCTGTTGCTAGGATTTTTGTGGGCCTCCCCCAGTCTCTGCCTATGAGACATTGGTCGTCATGTGTACATCTCACCGACCTTTGGTCATCTCAGTTACCTTGGGCGTCCTGGGACATGCCAAACCCTCTCGTGTCCCTTTGTCCCACCTTTAGGGTTTTTTAGCATCACCCTCCCACCCAGCACAGTGGCCCTTCCTCCAGTTCAGGCTCTGCTATTTCTGGGTTGCCCTGGTTACTAGCTCCTCAGTCCCCCAGCCCGGGCATGCGCCACCCTTGCTAAAACACTGTTGTTAGTTGTGTGGTGACTGGAAGATGTGTCTCTCACAGGTCACGCCCCGCATCATTATAAGCTGGTCTCGGTTCATGTGTTCATTCGCCACGGGGACAGGTACCCACTGTATGCCATTCCCAAAACCAAGCGACCAGAAATTGACTGCACTCTAGTGGCTAGCAGGTAAATTGCACTTTTTATAAGGGTCATTTTCATGCCCTCTGCTGGGTTCTGTACAAGCAGAGCATTATGGGAAGGAGGAGTTAACTATGGTTTGGTGACTGTGAACCGTTCAACATATTCGCTGTCTTGCATGGCATGCTGCTGTCTGACTCCTTTGGAAGATACAAACATACATCTCTTCCACCCAGATAGGGCACCGATGACAGAGAGAAAACAAACAAAAAAAAAATGACTCTGCCCAAATCCAGCTTGGTGAGCCAGTGATTTTACTGGGGTTCCCTAGAGGATCATGGGTGAGTCAAAGGCAGCTGCCTCACTGAAAATCCCACCCAGCGTGGGTGATGACTTCGAAAGGTTCTTTCCTGTGGCCTCCTGTATGGCGTGCAGACAGTTCCATCACCCCTTCTCCCCCTTAGTGGGTATTCACCGCCCTTAAAACCTCGGGACAGGGCCTTGAGTCTTGTAAGTTTCAAATCTGCTGAGTCTTCAGTTTTGTATGTCTTTTCCATTTCATTTGGCTTCCTGACTCTTCTCAGCCTTGCAGCTTCCTGCAGGAGGGAATGTCTGAATTGAGACAGACCCAGAGCAGAGAAGGCATCTCAGGCAACTCAGAATATACACTGAGGCCTGAGTTCAGTCTGAGACCCACTCCCTCATTCTGTCACCCACCCTAGAGCTGTTCCGTGGAGGCAGCAGGAAGTTCGCTAGTCTCTGGGAGCTTAGCCTCCCCCTCTGAGGTGGAAATGGTGAAGCTCAGCAGGCAGGGTTGGGGTGAGGAGCTGGACGCTTCGCAGGAGGAGGAGGGAGTGTTCACATCGCAGCTGTGAAGACAATGAGTATAGGATGGTATTTCAGCCATTTAATTTTTCACAGCATTAGCGACAGCGCTGTCTTAGTTGAAAGCCCTCAGGATGAAAAGTAATTGAAGAGAGAATGGAAATTGCGTGTATGGAAATTAGAAGCACAGTTAGCATAAACGATGGTTTGGCCGTAGCCAGTGTGTCTGGGGTACGCAGCATCTATCCTTACTGAATGGGACCAGGAGATGTAGGGAAGTGCCCAGTGGGGGCGACATTATTTTGATGGAACTGTCCCGGGGTGCCAGCCTGCCTAGGCAGGACCAGCCCGGTGGAGCCTGTCTGCAGCCAGGGCTGTTCTTTGAAGACACAAATCTGGGGTTTCAGATAACTCTTGCTGTCCCAAGTCTCTTCATGGGCTGACGTTTGGGGATTAATAAGTGAAGCATTTTAGGTAGAAAGACCGTGCCTGGGGTTTTGTTCATTTTTCTCTCATGCCAGAGACTGCAGTGTTGCCAGCCTGGGTACCTCTGTCTTCTTGGCTACATAGAGTAAACAAGGTTTGTCTATAGGGTTTCCTGTTAGGGGACCGTGGGGACACTGGCTCTCCCCCTCCAGCCTGAGCCCTCACTCTCCAGCCTGGTGTTCAGACTTTGCACTAAGACTCCCTGCTCCCCAGCACCCTACTTCCTGTAACACACCGTTATAGCTTGTGCCCGCTGTCGCTTCCCACTGGAGTTATCCCTTCATGTTCATCCCACTTGCACAGTGTCTTCAAGACCTTGTTAGAGGTTCCCTTGTGGTGGTTTGAAAGAAAATGCCCCCCATAAGGGAGTGGCACTATTAGGAGGTGTGGCCTTGTTAAAGTAGGTGTGGACTTGTTGGAGGAAGTGTGTCACTATGGGGGTGGGCTTTGAGGTCTCATATATGCTCAAGACACCACCCATTACCTCAGTTTGCTTTCTGTTGCGTAGCGACCAAGATGTAGGATTCTTAGCTCCAGCACATGTCTGCCTGCATGCTGTCATGTCCCACCATGATGATAATGAGCTAAACCTCTGAAACTGTAAGCCGCCACCTCAATTAAATATTTCCTTTATAAGAGTTACCATGGTCATGGTGTCTCTTCATTGCAATAGAAACCCTTACTAAGACATCCGTCTTCCAGGAAGCAGCCCCCCATCCCATGTGTGAAACACTGGGGTGACTCTGTGACTATTTGGAGAACCGACAATGCCCAACTCTCACTGCAGAGGGCTGGGGGCGTACAGGAGGGGTGTCAGAACAGGCAAGGTCTGTTTAAAAGAGTCTGGTTTAAAAGCCACCCCAGCTGGCTTAGGGCTGGGCAATGATGGAAACTGCTTGTTACACTGCACTTTAACCCTGCGGATTGCAGGGCAGGGAAGGCTGCTCAGAAGACTGACTTTTTCTCATGGAGTACAGAGGGTGTTGTGTTTACAGCTGGTACAGCTCTGGCTGTCTGCCTGGGGACAGGTGGGCCGCTCGGCCTCTGTGCTAGGTGAGTTCCACATAGCCTCAGGGCTTTGTGGACTGTCATATGCTTCAACTCAGACCAATTTAATCTTGCTAGAAAGTCACTATGGGGTTACTATGGCTGTTCCCAAAGAAGGGCCTATTGTCAGGGCCAGCTGGGCACCATGTAGCTTGTCTTCCTAAGGGAGTTTGGCTCTGTCATCCCCAGGCCTCACTGCTCCCAAATCACTGAACCTAACCCGTAGCCTGTCAGATGACAACTTTTGGACTTGGTAGCTATAGAATAAATCCATAATCTCTGTGGGGAGTCACAAGACACAGTGTAGGAGGAGAGAGCCGCTTGTTTGTTTCCAACTGCTTAGCCCTGAAATAATCACACAGAAACTGCATTAATTAAATCACTGCTTGACCCATTAGCTCTAGCTTCTTATTGGCTAACTCTTACATATTAATTTAACCTATCTTTATTAATCTTTGCATCACTATGAGGTCATGGCCTACCAGCAAAGTTTCAGCACTCCTGTCTCCTGTGGGGCTCCATGACTTTCTCCTGACTCTGCTCTTCCTTCTCCCAGCATTCAGTTCGGTTTTTCCCGCCTAGCTAAGTTCTGCCCTTTTACAGGTCCCAAACACTTTATTTATTAATGGTAATCACAGCATACAGAGGAGAATCCCACATCACCTCTCCTTTTCTGTTTAAAGAAAAAAGAAAGGTTTTAACTTTAACATGGTAAAATTACATATAACAAAACAGGTATCAAGCAAGAATTATAGCTACAATATTTATATTTACTTTATCTTTTATCATAATTAAGGAAAACTATAGCTATAAATTCTTCAACTCCATCAAAGACTCCAGAAGGATATAATATTACCTAAGTAAACAGGAAGTGCGTTGCAAGCAACTTCCAAAATTCTAGAATTGACAGAGACATCTTGCCACCTGGACAGTCACCCAAATTTCTTCTGTATCATGGGGCATCTGTCTTTGGCCTACAGGCCCATAGTATCCAGCAGACTTTTCCATGAAGCAGGAAATTTCAAAGACAGTTCCACCTACATCTGTGCCCTGCAGAATGTCTAGCAGACTCTTTAATGAAGCAGGAACCCCTAAGGGCCATCTCACCTTTAGGCAAGTTCAGCAGTCATTTTTCTGTAGGTCCTGCATGTTCAGTTTATCAAGTAGTCCAGGCAAGAGAAGATTCTTGCCCAAATGGCTAACAAACTCCATAAGGAGCCTCTTCAATGCCCATCTTCCTTTTGAAGTAGCTTGTGCTGCCAGGAGCAGATGCCATATTCTGAAGGTCTCTGAAAGATTTGAAGAATATCTAATTGAAATATATCTCTATACATCTAGAAAATCTAATAGGACTACCTTTTTTTAAAGTGTTTACTTTATTTTATGACTCTCTATACTCTTTTTCTTCTCTCTTCCAAGTCTACATACATTTATCCAACACTGTGACTCATCTGGGTTTGTCTTTATTGCATACCTCTAATTCTTTACTGTCCGGTAGCACTTTTAAAATGCTAAGCTTCTTGAAACTTAAGCTGTGTCATTACTATGGTATATACGGTACTTCTGTTTGCCAGCCCACACTGTGCCAGTCTTATGTTCCTGTCACCATCCTCTCCTCACGATAGATTTGAGCCCTGGCCATTGTATCCTGTGGCAGCCTGTTTGATGCTGGGCAGATGACTTCCCCTCTCAGAGCGGCACTCACTATACTCCATCCAGGAACAGGGGACACTCTTGCCCTCCTTATATCCATCCTACGTGTCAAAAGAAGGAGGGAGGGAGTGAGTGTATGGTCTCGTCCACACAGAAGCTTCATCTGCAGTGGCATAGCGTTGCCTACAGCAGCCTTGAGGCCACCTAGGCCTTGGCTCTTTCCCGCCGGAGCTGTCAATTCCAGAGCCGGTTCAGTCCCCACAAACTGCCCCCCATCAACCTCATTCCTTACTTCAGTGTTGGTGTTTGCAGGAGCTGGCCTAAGTCCTTTGTGGGAGAGGGCACAGTGCAGATGTTTAGCCTGAGCAGCTCTCTTCCTCCATCCGACTTTTCCTCCATTTCAGTTGCTTCTGGTATTGGCCACATCAAATGGAAAACTCCATTCACAGGGTTGCAGGGTGTTGTGGAGCCTGCTGTCTTCTCGTTGGTCCTGTAATCTCTCACCATACCTGGCTTAGAAATGAAGCCTTATCGCAGGTATTGTTTGCACAGGAAAGAGCACCACAGAGGCAGGGGTTCGGGCTATCTGTGGCTTCCATCACCCCCCCCCCCCAGATAAAGGAGTCGCTACTGTACTTAACATAGTTTAACTAATCCCATCTTTAAACACAGTAAGAGTTGGCTTATCACTGCAAACACATACTTGAGGAGTGAGCAGGCACTCAGGGTGTGGACCTGCTCTGGGCCCCCAGCGGTGCCTGCTGCCTTCTCGGCTCCTGTTTTGGTTCATAAATTAGTCATTTGTGGTTTCCTACTTGGCAGTGAGGCCTGGAAGGTACCCATTACTCTGGTCCATCGTAGGGGATGTCTGGTCCAGTGGTGGGAGCTAGACGTGCCCATCTAAGTCTGTTGCCTCAGAGTGCCTGTGCATAGTGCTGTGCCCCATAGTCTTTGTAGTGGAAGCTGCCTCTCCGTGAGTGCCGTGTGCTATGTTATGAGAGGTCTGTTTGAACTCTGCTAGCATTGTATTAGTCAGCATTAAAAGTATTTGTTAGGAATATTTCCTAACCGAGCCTAGGCGCAAAGAACTCTAATCAGGCCAGATTAGACCGAATCAAAAATGCCCACGGTTAATGAATGCCGCGCTCTCGGGTGGCCAGGAGCATGGCAGGGGGGAAGACTGAGGAGAACACATGCAAAACCCAAAAACCACATGTTCCTTCTTCCAGCAGGAGCCTAAATACCCTGTGGGAGTGGTCCTGACCCTCCCTGGGGAGGGGTCAGCGCTTGGCAGGCTGGGAATTGGAGTTCAAGTGCTTGACAATTCCCAGGGCAGGGGCTGGGGTGACACTTCCAACACAATCTTACATTCCAGACTCTTTGGAAATAGGGGTGTTAGAGGGCTGGGGTCTCACTTTTGACCAAACAGTATTAGCCATGTGAGTGCCTTGTTTTTAAATGCCCTTTTTGCATTCGTAAAGATGAACATGCTTTTCCACATCCAAGAAAAGCAACTCTTTCAAGCATTCACACGGCAAATTTTAGATTCCTGTTCCTTTCCTGGGCCAGGTCTCAGGGTAGCACACCAGCAGACGTGTACATGTAGTGGAGGAGCCAGTCCTGTGAGGACCTGAGGAGAGAATGTTCTAGATGGAGGGACCAGAAAGGGCAAAGGGCCTGCAGCTTGCAGAGCTGGGCCTGCTTGAGTAACACTGGGACCAGGGTGAGTGGCCTGGAGTAACAGGGTGAGTGAGCTTCTGAGACCTCGCAGCAGGCAGGCTATCCCACCCCGGGAGCCACTTAACATGCCAGGTCTCATTCTCCCTGGTCAGTCTCAGCAAGTGGAAGCCAGCCCAGGTGAGCATTCTAGCGGAGAAAGCAGAGAAGGAAATGGAGGAAAGACTAGAATGGAAAAGACTTTGGTAGCGCACTTGGGCCTGAGCCAGCAACCCAACCCAGCTCGGGCTAGTGACTTAGTTAGGGTTTTATTGCTGTGAAAGAGATACCATGACCACAGCAACTCCTAAAAAGGTAAACATTTAACTGGGGCTGGCTTACAGTTCAGCGGTTTCTCCTTTGTCGTCATGGTGGAAAGCATGCCAGCACTCAGGCGGACATGGTGCTGGAGGAGCCAAGAGTTCTACATCTGGATCAGCAGGCAGCAGGAAGAGAGGGAACCATTAGGTCTGGCTTGAGCTTCTGAAACTTCGGAGCCCTCCAGTGACACACTTCTTCCAACAAGCCACACCTACTCCAACAAGGCCACACCTCTTAATAGTGCCACTCCCTATGGGTCTATGGGGGCCATTTTCATTCAGATCATTATAGGTCACCCTTGGGTGTGCTACTTCCCAGCTTACTCTCCATGCTTGGGCACACTGCTGCCCGACGAATGGTCTCTCTCCAGGAGATACACAGACAGCTTTACCCTACTTAGAACACTTAAAATGAGAGGGTGACCCCCACTCCAGTCTCTTCTCCTTCCTTCTTTTGCCATAGCCTCTGTTGTTCCCATCCATTCTCTCTGTCTGTCTCTGTCTCTCATACACGCACACTTAGTGTTCTTGTGTGGTGTGTTTCCCCAGGCTGAAATGGAAGCTCCCTCCCTGATTCAGAGATTTCTCTTACTCCTGTCCATTGCTCTTACCACCCAAGTACCTAGTACAGATATTTGTTATTACCCGAGAGACTGACAGAGACTGAGGGGTGACCTTGGTCAGGTGGGAGGGGTGAGCTGCAGGAGGGGTTGGGGGGGATGAGAATGAGGAGGTACATTGCTGATAGTGCTGTCCCTCCCAGGAGCCATGGACACTGGAGAAAGGTTATGGCCCAGCTCCAGCATTGCCTCCGAGATTTCTCCAAACTCTGGGGGCTGTCTCCTGAGGGGGGGTGTCTGGTTTGGGCTTAGGGGCATTGGCATGCTGGTTTATTTGAGCATCTATAGCATGCGGCATCAGATGAGACTAGAATGTTCTCAAGCTGAACCTGCGGTGAGAGGGAAGCGGACAAGTGGTCATACCGAGTTACACAGAAAGGCCCAGATAAGCACGCCCTGGAGAAAGTACATCCAGGTTGACTTTTTATAAGCTTGTTTTGTTGACATAGGCAGTCAGCCATTCTTTAGTCTGCTAAGTTTTTAGGTGTGGTATGAATCCCTTCTGGTTTCCAGTCAGGCGAGCTTTTAATATTGTGCTTCCTAGTAGTAGCACTGCTGCCGTGGCTTGGGTAACCGTCCCCGCAGAACCCAGATCACAGCTGAAACAGCCTGTGTCCTCTTGTGTGTGACTGGCCACAGGATCCCACCGTGAGCACTGTAGCATAAGTATACTTGAATGGTGCATATAATATA